CCTCTCCACACATGACAAGTGAGTCCCTGGGGCAGGAGGACCCAGCACTGCGGGCCCGGCAGCTGGGCTGCGGGCTTACAGCCTCACCTTCCCCGCAGGAGCACCATGGAGGCCCTGCCCGCCTGCCTGCTGAAGGACGTGTACCAGGAGGCGCTGGGCGCCGCAGTCATCGGCATTGACGAGGGCCAGTTCGTAAGTGCACGGCCAGGGCAGACCCTGGGGGGCTCTGCAGCAGCTCCCAGTGCAGGAACAGGTGGGAAACCCCAGGCCAGCCTGATCCTGCTGGATCCTGCTCGTATAGTCAAACCCTTCCCCTGGTCCCTGCAGGACAGTGGGGCTGGAGGCCATTGCACGGGGCTCTAATTTTGTCTGGGCACGTGCTGCTGGATCCTGAGCGACATGCTGCCCCTTCTTCCTCCTGATGCCATTTCTTTACCTCCTGTAGTTCCCAGACATCGTGGAGTTCTGTGAGATGATGGCCAATGCTGGGAAAACCGTCATTGTTGCTGCTCTTGATGGGACTTTCCAGAGAAAGGTAAAACAGTTTTTATCTTAGCACAGCAGCTGCTTTGGGATCCTCATTGAACCCACCCAACAGAACCACCCCTGCTCTCTTGGCACAGGCTTTCGGGAGCATCCTGAACCTGGTGCCGCTGGCAGAGAGCGTGGTGAAGCTGAACGCTGTGTGCATGGAGTGCTACCGAGAAGCCTCCTACACAAAGAGGCTGGGAGCAGAGAGGGAGGTGAGTTCCCATGGAACAAAGAACTTCAGTAGCTTCATCTTGCCAGTCCTGCTAGTCTAGAGGAATTTCCTCAGGGGAACTGAGCTCCACAGAGTCACTCTCCTAATTTTCTTGCCAGGTGGAAGTGATTGGAGGAGCAGACAAATACCATTCTGTCTGCAGAGCCTGCTACTTCCGCAAGCGGCCACAGCAGCCTGGGTTGGAAAACAAGGAGAACGTGCCCATGGGGGTGAAGCAGCTGGATGTGGCCACCTCCAGGAAGATCTTTGCTTCTTGACTGCTGGGCTCCCGCATGGGAAATCACGAGAGGAAGGAGTTAAACGCTGCAGCTCCCAGACTCCAGATCTGGCTTCCCCTGCTTGTAGCAGAACTGTTAATGCCTGAGCTCTCCCTGCCAAGCCAAGCTGCTGCTCCCTGCGCTGACCGCCGGGCGAGAGGACGATCAACTGCACCTGATGCTGGAGCAGGACCATGACTAGAAGTTGGTTCCTTTCTCAGAACATGGAAAGGAGATGGGTGTAGCTACTGGTGCTGCCACACAAACAGGTCCTGGAACTGTCACAGCAAGCCAGGCTGGCAGCGCCCTGTCCTGCTCTCCCAGTCTTCTGCCTGTTTCCAGACCCGCGCTGGTGGCTGGGTCACTGGCCTGGGAACACAACTGTTTCTTTCTCTTGCACACTGTTGCTAAATTCCATGTTTCTTAAGACAATGTGCAGTAATTTACTATTTTAAACCCACTTCCTTTTTTAACGCAGTCTGAAGAGATGCCCTGTTCCTTGTCGTGCAGATATGGCACAACTTTTTAACTGACACGCGTAGCAGCAGCCTGGCGCTCGGCAGCCCCTTTGAACCATTGCTCTGGCCCTCTGGCCCCACTTGCAGTTGGCTCACTTACTGTAACTGGCTCGTAAATTTCTGTTGAAACAGAAGAGGGGGGAGGAAGGCTTGACTTGATGGCCTGACTAGTCTCTTTCTAGCCTTTGAACTGAAAAGGGTGAGCAGTAGTCTAGTAGTAGCCTGTGTATTTAGATAGAGTCCTTTTGGAAGAACTAGACTTCGCTTCAGGAAGAGTCACTGCTCCAAAATCAGGTGGTTTTGCTCAGGTCCAAGGCTGGTGCTGCCACTTCAGTGCTTAGTTACCTGGGAAGGGTTTGGAGGCTCAGGACTTAATCTGTAAAGGTTTGGGCTACTGTTTCTGTGAAGATCTAGCTACTTGGAAAAGGCTCTCTGCTTCGAGGGGAAGGTTCTCAACTGTAGTCACATATCTTGCTCCCTCCTGAGCCTTCCAAAAATTCTTCAGGCTGATCCTTCCTCTGCTGTAGGTTGACTGAAGGATCCTCTTCCCCCTTTGCTTGACTTGGCCTCTGGAAGGTTTTTGTTTTATTTTGTACTGCTTTTTCCTGTAAGACAGCATCTACAGCCTCCAAGCAGTAGCTCTTGGTACCAGCTGGGTACAATCTCCACGTGCAAATGCCATGCTGTGTGCCTGCAACCTCCAGCTTGGAGAAGGCACCTCCCTAGAGGGTCAGAAGAGCTGACTGAAAACCCCTAAGCCCCAAACCCCTGCTCCCTCTGCATGTCATGAAGTGATGACAGTTGTACTCACAAGCACTTGAGTGCTAGGCCTGGGCTTTCCCCTTAGGGACAGGGGAGGCAGCACTGCTACTGGTTTAGGTTAATAAATAACTTAATTAAATTGTCTCTGTGTGTTTTACACTGGACTGCTCTGAACAAGCTTCCCTGCAGCTGACTGCTCACAGCAGCGGCCTGGGCTGGACAGCTGGTCACAGGGGGGGTGTTTGAGCCGTCTGCTCCAACCTCCTACCAAACAGACTCTGCGAAGAGCAGGCGGAGGGTTCACCTAAAAATAGACACCAGCATGAGTGTGCTGTTTGCAGGGCAGGAGTTGGCTTGGGCTGCTGCCCTGCCTGGAACCCCCTGTCCCTGGGGAGAGGAGGAACCCCGCTGTGCTTCCCCAGAGAAGAACAGCACGTGGTGGCTAGGTGAAAAAGTTTATTCCATTTCTACAGTGACAAACAAAGAGCTATGTGAACGGCAGCCCCAGCAGCGGCAGCTCACGTACCACACGCTGCTGCTGGGAACAACTTCACAACAGGTGCAGCAGAAAACAACCTGAGTCAGGCGGCCAGCACAGGCGCCCGCGGGGCGGCCGGAGCGCGGCTGCGAGCAGGACACGGGACAGGCCCCGCTTCTGCAGGAGGCCGAGTACCGAGTCAGCAGGGACGGTGCTCCATGACCTCCCTCAGACACCTGGAGCAGCCACAGCCCCGCTGAGACCCCAGCGCTCGCTGCTCCCGTGGATCCCAAACCGTGTCATCCGCGCACCGGCAGCTCTAGTGCAGGCTGTGGCAAAGGCACAGCACGGGAGTTTATAGTCAAAAGAAAACAGGGCTTTGGCATCAAGCTCACCCAGCAGCAGCCG